CCGACCGACCGACCGAGCAACGACGACGACGACAAACGACGACCAACGACGACCAACCAATCCACCGAAGCGACCGACCGATCGACCGACGGCGACGATGACCGACCGCCTGGCCGACCGACGACGACGACGACAAGCGACGACGACCAACCGACCGGCCGTCCGTCAGGACGAGCACACAACTTCACTTGATGTTTGAACCGCGAGACGCCGAACCGCAACCCCCGCCCAAATAGAACCTTAACGCGAGCGGGCACTAGGGACTTGGATCTGATTTCCGTTTGGTTCACCGCTGTGATGTAATGCTATATAAACTTCCCACGTGGTCTGAAAAAAATCGTGTGCAAAAACATGTATGGTCATGAGCTCCGCGAAAGACGATGTTCGATCCACACGGACGGTGATCAATTCCAACTCAATGCCAATCGGAACCAGCATTGCAGCCACGCATCAAACAAACACTTTCATAACAAAACGTACACAACAAATTCGCAGGCCTAACTGGCCAGAGGCGGGTCAAGACCTCTGGCAACAGCTTTACAATAGTTCTACTGGGGCGGCCCCTGGGGATCCGCGGACGAATAGTGCGCGGACGGACACCCGGCAGACTCCGGATCAGAGATAGCCGAACTCCTGGGCGCGGTTCTGGCGGCTCCCGGATCGCTCCAGGAGCGCCCCAAAGAAGATCCAGAGGACTCCGAGTCGCACGCAAATCGCTCCCAGATGTCTCAGATGACCTCCAGATGGCCCCACAGGCCTCCACAATGTCGAAGACGCCTCCAAAATGTTTCCGAAGAGAGCCCCAAGAGGCAAAAATCGTTCCATCCCCTTCGTAAAACGTATATTATAGCCGATTCTCCTCCTCAGCCTTCGCAATGTCCAAGACGGCACCAGGGCTCCCAAGATCGCCCCAAGACAGCCGAAGAGGCCCCCAAGAAGGCTCCAAGGCAGCCTGACGGCTCCAGGACCCCCCAAGACTGGCCAAGACGCCCTCAAGACTGCGCCAACAGGGGCCCAGAGGAGGAGCCAAAATAAACATTTCGAACCTGCGGGCCCCAGACGCCCCAAGGAAGCTCCCAGAAGCTTCCAAGAGGGCCCAAGAGGCTCCAAGAGACGCCTCCGAACAGAGCCCCACGAGCACAAATCGCTCCATTCCCTTCGCGAACCCTACATTTTTACCAGATTCGCCTCCTCAGCTTCCGTAGCGTCCAAGACGGCCCCAGAGGCTCCCAAGATCGCCCCAAGACCGCCGAAGAGGCCCCCAAGAAGGCTCCAAGGCAGCCCCAGGGAGCCTCAGGACGGCTCCAGGACCCCCCAAGACTGGCCAAGACAGCCTCAGGACTGCTCCGCGAGGGGCCCAGAGGATGTACCAGAACGGACATTTCGAATCTTCGGCCCCCAAACGCCCCGAGGAAGCTCCCGGAAGCTTCTAGGAGGCCGCAAGAGGCTCCAATTGACGCCTCCGAACAGAACCCCAAGAGGCAAAAAATATTCCCGACGTAAAACGCATATGTTTCCCCAGCCCGCCTCCTCAGTCTTCCATCGTCTAAAACGGCCCCCGAGGCTCCCAAGATCGCCCCAAGACCGCCGAAGAGGCCCACAAGAAGGCTCCAAGACAGCCCCAGAGCCTCGAGACGGTTCAAGGAGCCCCAAGACTGGCCAAGACGCCCTCCGGACTGCGCCAAGAGGGGCCCACAAGAGGAACCAAACCAGACATTTCGAACCTTCGAACCCCCAAGACGCCCCGAGGAAGCTTCCAAGAGGCCCCAAGAGGCTCCAAGAGAGCCCACAAGAGCCTCACAACGCTCTCAGAAAGCCCCCTGGGGGCCCCCCAGAAACTGAAAAACTCCTTCCAAAACGTTTTCGAGAAGCCTCCCTCGAAACTCTATCAGCCCTAAATGGCTTCAGGCACATCATTCGGGCACGGTGGTTGTATAGGCCCACGGCTACTCGTAGGTGCCACGCCCAACGGCCTCACGCCAAACGCGCTCCAAATTTGCCGACGTTTCTTCTTCCGTCTCCTCCTCCTCCTCCTCCTCCTCCTCCTCCTCCTCCTCCTACTACTCCTACTCCTACTCCTACTCCTCCTCCTCCTCCTCCTTCTCCTCCTCTTCTCCGAGTGGCCTCAGACACACAACCCAGGCACGGTGGCGCTAAAAACCTCGTCAAAATGAACCTCAAAAATGTCTTACGTGGCTGAACTGTTTGTGGCGAGATGAGTAGCGGTGACTGCGAGGTACTTGTATGCGCCGCCCCTCAAATGGCGGTCATCATCTGACTTTGGAGTCGTTCCCGGTCAGACCACTTTTGTCCTGGCCCCGACAGTGGAGGGGCGTCTATCGACATTGAAGGGCGCGCCGACATCGCAAGGGCGTGGTCGCCATTTTTGATGTTAATTTTGACGAGGGTCGTAGTAAGCGTCAGCTCCGGCGGCCCAAAGGGCCAGAGGCGTGCTAAGATCTCTGGCAACTGGAAAACTAAATATTTCTAGTTCGCGAACGCAGGGCGGCCCCTGGAGGTCCGCGGCCGACAAACAATTACCCCGAGCAGGTCCTTGGCAGGTCCTCAGCAAGTTTTCATCAGAGATGGTTCTGCTGCTAGGCGCCGCCCTCAGAGCCTCCGAAGAGCCCCAAGAGCGGCCCTGAGGCCGCCAAGAGGCCCCCAAGGGCACGAGAACACCACCACGCAGCCACAGTGATGCGAAATGGACCGGCGGAATAAGCGAAGCGATTACATAAATCCGCCGACCCTGTCGGCGTGTGGACCCCCTGTCGCCGTGCGCTCAGTCGACGCATCCGTTGTCCTCTTTCCCTGCGTCTCCGTCGTCCCCTTTCCCTGCACCCTCCTCTCTAAGCCTGCCAGCGAGAGAAAACCGTAGCAACCTCGTACTGAAGTCGAAGGGAAGCCCCGTCCCTTTGATCCCTCCCCCGCCGAAGGGGTCCCTTGGGGGTCCCAGGGGGGTCCCGGGGGGGGGGTCAGATACGCATCCGCCCCTGGGCGTCCGCGAGCCCAAAAAAGCGCCAAGACGCGCCAAGAAGGCCCCAAGCAGGCCCAAGAAGAGGACCACGAACCGACATTTCGAGCTTCCCGCCCCAAGAAGCCCCCGGAAGGCCCCAAGAGCCCCTCAAGGGGCCCGAAGAGGCCCCCAAGAGACCACCAAGAGGCCCAACAGAGGCCCCAACAGGACCGAAAACATCCAAGATGCCTTTGAACCACAACCCCAGCAAGGTGGCGGGAAGGGACGCAGGCCACAAGGCTCCATGTCTGTCTCTGCTACGACTCCCTCGGCCCACATGGGGAACATCTCCTTCGCCTTCTCCTGCTCCCTTCCACCATAATCCACCTCCTCCTCCTCCTCCTCCTCCTCCTCCTCCTTCTCCTCCTCCTCCTCCTCCTCCTCCTCGTATTCGTCGTCGTCGCCTTCAGGGTCGGCGGCACTGGCCGTAAGGCCTTAGCAATAAAGATTCATTGTTTCCTGTCTGACACGGTGTCCGTCCTTGGAAAACGGGCTCCGAAAAGGAAAGACAAAACTTGGGACGAGAGGATGTATTGCAGCATCGTTGGCGCAACATGGCTTAATTCTGGTCCTCTTCATCCCCACTGGCAAACTTAGATCAACTGGGATCGTATCGTCTGGTCGGTATACAAAGGAATACTAACAAAAACAGCTATTTGGGCGAAATAGAAAACACCGAAGACCTCAGAACGCAGCGGTGAAAGTATCGGGAATGAGGCTGTGAAATGCAGAGTGGCCCGCTAGGGCGCAGAGTATGCGTGTCGAGGTCCTTTAGGAGGGAAATGGAAGTGATCATGCTCCTCCTCCTCCTCCTCCTCCTCCTCCTCCTTCTCCTCCACTCCTTCTCCTGATAAATACTTTCTCCCTATCGCACCCCGAGGCCAGTTTTTAGGGCGTGCGGGGCGTTTCGCCTGGGACTTCCTCACCATTTATGACCCTGAAGCACAAAAACTGGCAACAGTTTCACGGATGGAGGGCGGGTGGTTTTCACAATGTAGCTCTCGCCTTAGCTCCGCGCACATTAGTTTTCAAAATTTGCAAGAATTTCACGGATTGAAGGCGGGTCGTTTTCAAAATGTGGCTCTCGCCTTAGCGCCCTGCACATTCGTTTTTCAAAAAAAATGAAAAGAGTTTCACTGATTGAATATGGTTCCTTTTCAAAATGTTGCTCTCGCCTTAGCGCCGCGCACATTCTTGCTTAAGCATTGCAAGAGCTTCACAGATTGAGGGCGGGTCGTTTTCAAAATTTCATTCTCGCCGTAGCGCCGCGCACATTCGTTATCAAAATTCGCAAAAGTTTCACGGATTAAAGGCGGGTCGCTTTCAAAATGTTGCTCTCGCCTTAGCGCCGCGCACATTGATTTTCCAAATGTGCCAGAGTTCACGGATTGAGGGCGATTCCTTTTCAAAATGTGGCTCTCGCCTTAGCGCCGCGCACATTCTTGTTTACAAACTGCAAGAGTTTTCACGGAGTCCCATCATCAGCGTACCAGAAATAATGTTTTGGAAGGAAACACGATTTTGAGAGCGCAACAGTTACGATGATTTGCGAAGTTGAGGTCCCAGGAATGGCGTCTGGCACGATTGAGGACCGTCAAAACGCAACAGTCAGATTCACCCGTGGCGTGGAATATCGAGACAAATGTTTTGACATGCTTCAGGGTCTTCAAACGGTTGTCTTCCAACGAGGCAGTTCCCTGTGTCTTCCAACGAGGCAGGTCCCTCAGTGGAAATGAACCGTTGTAGGGGCCTATGAAGAGGGAGCTTGGGGGGAGGGTTTATTCCAACATCGTTGGTGACTCTTGGGTTTACACTGGTCCTCCTCCTCCTCCTTCTCCTCCTCCTCCTCCTCCTCCTCCTCTGCCTCCTCGTCTTCCTCCTCCCCCTCCTCCTCCTCCTCCTCCTCCTCCTCCTCCTCCTCCTCCTCCTCCTCCTCCTCTCGAAAGAAAGAGAAGGCGATGCGGACCCAGCCCCCCTGCCGCTCCCGGCAAACAGTGCCGCGCCCGCCAGCGCGGCGACGCAGAGGGCTGCCAGACGCGCCATTATGCCTCCCAAGGGGGGCGGAGCGAGGAGCAAGGGGGCGAGGAGCGAGTGAGCGAGCATCGAGGGAGCGAAGGTCGAGAGTCCAAGTCGCGGAACGCGGCTCGAGGAGCGAGTGCCAAGGATCGCGGAGCGAAGAGCGAGGACCGAGGATCCAAGTCGAGGACCGCGGAGCGAGGAGCGAGTGCCGAGGATCGCGGAGCGAGGAGCGAGGAGCGAGGGTCGAAGATCGAGGATCTGCCTCCCAGGGGGCGAGGGACCGAGGGTCGAGGCCTCCTGAGCGCGCCTGGGCCCCTGCCTCCCTCGGGTCGGACGAGGGGGGGGATGCGAGCGAACGAGCGAACCATCGGTGGCAACTCATGGGAGCCTTCCACACCATCTTGCTGGCTCTTGCGAATCGACGCTAATCGACGCTGCATCGACGCTGAGCAACGCTAAGCGAAGCTGAATCGACGCTGTCTAATCGACTACCAGGGGCCAGTCAACGCGAATGCTCCCTAAAGGGGAATTGCGAGGGGGCACAAATCTCCCATGATTTGCCACCAAACGAACAGCCAACATCGCGCAGGAGCGCGTACCTCAGGGGATGAGCGGAATAGGCCGCAGTCTTCAGAAAACCGCCGACCACTTGTGGGTCTCTAGGCGTGTGAGATCATCCCCCCTCCAGAAGCCCCCCCCCCCAGGGACCCCAAACCGGCAATTTGACCCCCCCCCCTGGCCGAGCCCGACCCCGGACCGAACGCGCCACGGGGGAGCGGAGGGCTCCAAAACTGGCCAAGAAGGCACCAAAACGCTCCGCAGACGGTCCCAGGGGGCCACGATTCGCCGAAATATCGCCCCTGGACGCCCACGATGGCCTCCAGGCGGCCTCCGAAGCTGCCAAGACGCCCCACAAGGCCCCCAAGATGTGCCCCAAGAGGGTCCCAAGAAACAAAAATCGTCCCATGCCATTGGAAAAATAAGCATTTTTCGCATGCTCGCCTACTCGGTTTTCACGACTTTCCAGACGGACAAAGAAACCTTCAATATCGCACCCAAACGGCCAAAGGGACACCCAAAAAGGGTCGAAGAGGGTCCAACAACAGCCCACGAAGCCCCCCAGACAGCCCAAGAAGGCCCCAGACGGCTCCAACACGAAGTCCAGAGGGCACCTTTTCGAGCCTTCGGCCCCAAGACGCCCCCAGCCTGCCCCAAGAACATCCCAAGAGGCCCTGAGGGACCCTCAAGAGAACCTCAAAGGCCTCCAAGAAGCCCCCAGGAAGCCCCCAAGATGCCCCAAAACTTGGCCCAATATGTCTCGAGGCGGCCGGATATGGCCTGCAGACAATGCCACCAAAAGGCCACAAAAGAGCACCAAGAGGTACGATAACAGCAGCGAAGCAACAGGAAAGATGTCGAGCGCCGTGTCATGATCCGGACAAGCCTCGTGTAATGCAGTCCTGGAGGCGCAATAGTTTATGTAGGGGGCGGCGGATGTGGCGTAAGCCTATAGAATCGGAGTGCTCGTAGTAAACTCACCGATAGCAGCAGAAGTCCTGCTCCATGTCTCTCCACCACTTGTTGTTTGGGCTGGGGGATGGCTAAAGGGACCAGCTCGCGCAGCCAGCTTTCCCGGCGCTTCCCAGCGCCAGAGTCGAGAACCGCCGAGAACCGATGAGAATGTCCGAAAACGCCCCCCCCCCCCGCCCCTCTTCGTCCGACCCCATCCCCTGGACCTCCAGGGACCCTGGACCTCTGGGGACTTCCTGGAGGGCCCAAGGGAGGCCGAGACCGAAGCCCCCGCCCAGAGGCGCGAGAGGGCTACGCAAGTCCTACACTGGTCCTCCTCCTCCTCCTTTTCCTCCTCTTCCTCCTCCTCCTCCTCCTCATGCTCGTCGCTGGGACTTCGAGGAGCGGCGACCGCGAGAGACCCACGCACGTACCACGCCAGTACACTTCTCATGTACCTCCTTTCCGAAAAAGGGTGCAATCATGAGTTAGAAAAGGTTTAATATGGATTAAACCTTGTTGAACTTGTACCTGCAGTGCTTCACCATTGGAAAGGGTTTACTCCAGATTAAACCTTTTCTACATCTGAAGCGCTCCTCTGGCGACCATGTCGCCTCTTCTCTATCTCCGCGGCGCATGCTCTTTTCAATTCCTGGGCCCCGTGCTCGAAACATTCTCGCCCTGGGGCTGGCCATTTACGGAGGCGCAGTCGCTCCTTTCATTTGCCCTTCGGGTCTTTTGTCATCGGGGGTTACTTCTCTGAAGTTGCGCCGGCATCTCTGCAATCGACTCGTTTTCCTATCCAGTTCCACAGTCTTTCACGTTATGAACGACGCTTCGTTAGGCTGCTCAGGAGGGTGGGTCTTGTAATTTCAGTTCTGCCGCCATCCTCTCGCCCTGCTGTCTGATTATGAAGACACCAATTATTGGGCCACCTCTCCTCGCTCTCCAGGCTTCCTTGCTCCGAAGGTTGTTTTGTTTGGGGCTGCTGGCTCTCAGGCTACGTCGGCTCCTTTTTTCAGATACGAGCGCTCTCTTGCTATGAATCCCTTCTGCCCTAGTTTTCCAATGTTTCTGGCTCTGGAGGCTTATTTTTCCAGCTCTGCTGGCCTGTCTGGTTTTCGAAGTGTTTTTCGTTCTGCAGGCTTGCTGATTCAGTGCGCGCGTTTCTCTTGCCCTGCAGGCTTTCTGGCTCTGGTCGCTCGTCACTCTAGCTTTGATCTAGGGCGATTGCTTCTCACACGCTGCGGGCTTTCTTGTTTCATCGGTTACTTCTCCGGGGTCTGCAGGCGCTCTCTTCAACAACAACAACAACAACAACAACAACAACAACAACAACAACAACAAACAACAAACAACAAACAACAAACAACAAACAACAAACAACAAACAACAAACAACAAACAACAAACAACAAACAACAACAACAACAACAACAACAACAACAACTACAACAACAACAACAACAACAACAACAACAACAAAACTACAACAACAACAACAACAAAAAAAAAAAAAAAAAAAAAAAAAAAAAAAAAAAAAAGGATGGGGATCCTCCCTGTGCCCCTTTGCTGGGGCACAGCCGGACCCCTCCCCCTTTGGGGGCTGGGACCCTTCCCAGGCCCCGGGGCGTCCGGGGACCCCCCCCCCGGAACAACACAACAGAACAACGGTCCAGGTTTAATAAAAAAACTCCACCTCTATCAGAGGTGGATCCATCCTTCATGCCATGTTGCAATGTCTGCACCAGCGAAGCTCTGGAATCCTATGGGAATCCGATGGGAATCCGATGGGAATCCGATGGGAATCCTACGAATCCTATAGGAATCCTAAGAATCCTATAGTATTCCTAGGAATGAATCCTATTGGGAATCCTATGGGAATCCTACGAATCCTATGGGAATACTACGGGTATCCTATCGCATTCCTATGGGAATCCTACAGGAATCCAATAGAAATCCAATAGGAATCCAATAGGAATCTTATGAGTCCTGTAGGAATCCTATAGGAATCCTCTATAGCTCCTATATGGATCCTGTAGGAATCCTATGGGGATCCTAAGAATCCGATGGGAATAATCCTATGGGAATCCGACGAATCCGATGGGAATCAGATTGGAAATCTTATGAATCCTCTGGGATTCCGATGGGAATCCTACGAGTCCTATGGGATTCCTATGGGATTTCTACGAGTCCTATGGGATTCCTATGGGAATCCTACGAGTCCTATGGGATTCCTATGGGAATCCTACAGGAAGCCTCTTAGGATTCCGATGGGGATCCTACGAATCCTAAGAAGCCTCTAGGAATACTATAGGTATTCTAGAGGAAGCCTCTAGGAATCCTGTAGGAATCCTAGGAAGCCTCCAGGATTCCCAATATCCTACAGGAATCCTATAGGAATCCGATGGGAATCCTATAGGAAGACTGTAGGAATCCTATAGGAGTCTTACGAATCCCATAGGAGTCCTATGGGAATCCGAAGAAGCCTTTGGGAATCCTATAGGAAGCCTCTTAGGAATCCTATAGGAGTCTTACGAATCCCACAGGAGTCCTATGGGCATCCTAAGAAGCCTTTTTGGGATCCTATGGGAAGCCTCTAGGAATCCTATAGGATTCTTACGAATCCCATAGGATTCCGATGGGAATATTATAGGAATCCTAGGAAGCCTCTTAAGAATCCTATGGGAAGCCTACAATTCCTATAAGAATCCGAAGAAAACTGTAGGATTCCGATGGGAATCCTAAGAAGTTTCTAGGAATCCGATGGGAATCCTAAGAAGCCTTTAGGAATCCTATAGGAATCCGATGAATCCTATGGGATTCCGATGGGCATCCTGGGAGGCAGGAAGCCTCTAGGAACCCTATAGGAATCCTAAGAATCCTACAGGGTTCCCATGGGGATCCTAGGACGCCTCGAGGAATCCTATGGAATGCTATAGGAAGCCTTCTTGGGAATCCTATGGGAATTCTATGAATCCGATACCACTCCTGCACGAATCCGACACGGATCCTATAGGATCCTATACGACTCCTCTACGAATCATATACGAATCCAGTTCGAATCCTATACGAATCCGACGCGAATCCTGAAAAACACATGCGGAACACAATAGAAATCCAATCGGAATCCTATGAAATCCTATACGAATCCTTGGGAGTCCTTTAGAAATCCGATGGATCCTATATGAATCCTGTCGGAATCCTATGGGAACCCTATAGGGATCCGATGAATACTATACGAATCCTATCAGAATCCTATAAGAAACCCATGGAAGTTCTACGAATCCTATATGCATCCCATAGGAATCCCATAGGAAACCTATGAATCCTATACGCATCCTATAAGAATTCAATGATTCCTATATGAATCCTGTAAGAATCCTAAAGGAAGCCTAAAGGAATCCCATGAACCCTATACGAATCCCATCGGAATCCCGTAGGAATCCAATGACTCGTATAGAAACCCCAGAAGATTCCAATGCATTATGAACGAAGTCCGTAAGAATCCTATAGGAATC